GTAAATGCCCAAACCCTACAGAACTGGTGCCTTCAGAAAGCACACTACACACCTATTCAGTCTTCTGTCCACCTATTGCCAAGGCAAACCTTATCTCACTGGCAGGACAGAGACTTACCAAATTTGGAGACTTCATGGAAGCCCTCCTTAGTGATGTCTTGAATCCAGGCCTGGAGCTCTGAGTCCTGAGACACTTCTTCGTCACCAGAGTAATACAGAGCCACCATCTCCGACACAAAACTGAGAGAGAGAAGGAAAGAGAAAAGGGTATGTGGGCTCAGTTCGACAAAGAGCCAGAGATTCCTGGTGGGCATAATGGCATTTTAGGCAGTTTTAATCTCTTAACAATTTGTCGCCATTGGAAAAAGAGTCAATATTTGCCTGGTAAGTTTATATAGTAGAATCCTGGTTTATGGCTTAAATTAAAGCTAACTTAAGAGTCCCTTCAGCCTATCAGTCCTGGTGCTCCCTGCCCTGAGCCACACTATACTGACCCAGCACAACACTTCTGTAACACCAGCAACAATCTAGCCTACTAGGACACACATTCACAAGCAATCTGAGTGCGATCAGGCCCTAGTCACACAGTACACCCAAGCAACATATCTTACCGGTGGAAAAGTAGACGCTGATCCTGATTAAGCACAGGATCTGTGACCACCACCTGGCCATAGAAAATGGACACAGATAGACCTGGCTGTCTATAGACGATAGGCTCGGTGTCCACAGCCTGGCCATAGAAACAGGACAACACAGGAAGACCTGGCCGCCCAGAGAGGACAGGCTCAGTGACCACAGCCTGGCCATAGAAAGAGGACAACACAGGAAGACCTGGCTGCCCAGAGAATACAGCCTTGACAGTCTTGGGCACTGCAGCCCACCGACAGCTGTGTGATCAGCGACCCCACCTGTAGATGGCATCCCAGAGCATCATGCTGTCCTCTCTGTAGAAGTAATCTCTCAGACGTGTCACCCCACGGTCCTGGAAGTCCCAGTCTGGCTGCAGGGACTTGTAGGTCAGGACTTTGTACTCCTTCTGGGAGAGAACTAACAGCCCCTTGCCTCCCGTAGACACAACCTTGAGAGGAGGGGTGGGGCAGTGGTGAGAGAGGCAGGAAAATAGAGTCTAAACTATTCCATACATGTTAAAATAAAACATGCATAGGAAGCATTTAAGTTGTGAGTGCAGTTAGACACAAAATGCATTACATTTCCTGGGGTGCAACAACGTTTTCAAACGGGCAAACAGACAGACCCTCTTGAAGATGCCTTCTGGAGAGATGAGCTGGGTGCGCCCGCGGCAGTTGATCTCCAGGGTGTAGCGGAGGTGGGGAGCCAGCAGCTGCACAGACACAGTCGAATTAGGGCAAGAGTGTGGCAGTGGCTCACACAAGAATGCATTATTATCCAACAATTGGGGTGCCTCCTATATTTGGTATGTAATTACCTTGGCGAAAAGATGTGCATGGTAAAAAGTGATAATTATAATGTCATTACAATGTAACAAAGCATGCATTGACAAAGAATGTTATGACACTGTACAGTATATACAGTTCATAATCATACAGAGTACTTTTTCAGTGTTACTGCCTTGTAGCTGGGATGTATATATGATGTTATTCCATTGCAAGAACATGGCTTACAAGGCCCACCTGCAATGTCATTACCTTGTAGATGGGGTGCACAGCAGGTAGCTGCCTCAGTGTGGCCACACAGATGACCTCCACCACCAGGTGAGTGCGCAGCAGGTGCGAGAGCAACTGGAAGATCTGGAACTCGGAGTGACGCACCCACATCTTGGCCAAAAGCCAAGCCAGTGGAGGATCAGTGGGCAGGAACACAGGGGTGTCTAGACCAGGGGTCTGATCCAGCTTAGAGAGGAGAAGGAGATAAGATAATATCACTTTTTTTGGCCATTATAATTTCTTGCATTAGGAGTTTGTCTTTTTGGCATATCCCCGCTTGCTCTCCATGAGACACACAGAGAGAAGCTGGGGGTCAGAGCGCAGGGTCAGCCATTTATACAGCGCCCCTGGAGCAGTTGGGGTTAAGGGCCTTGCTCAGGGGCCCAAAGGAGCAGGATTCCTCTGCCAGCCACAGGATTTGAACCGGCAACCTTCCAGCCACAGGTGCAGATCCTTAGCCACAGTCTCACTGCTCCACCCCACATGGGGCAGGGGTTAATACAGAAAGGGTTAACAACACTGCACTTTATAACAGCCTTGATTGTGGACAGATCCCTCTAAGAGGAGTCCAATCCATGTGTGCTGATGAGGAAACTGCGAGCAAAGAGGTCATTGCAGTGAAGGGGTCTGCTGGTCCCTTCTTGTCCTTCAGTTTGAGGAAAGCGGAACTGTGTCTGAGGCGTCACCAGACCATGTGACAAGATGAGAAGGGTTCCATGCTTCCTGTCTCTCTCCAAGCCCACCTGTATAGCCAGAGGGATCAGCCCCTGGTCGGGGTGCTCATACAGGAGGCAGAGGGGGGCGCACAGGTACTGGGGGGAATTCCGGATGACATTGGTGGGAACCCCCTCCAGGATTGCATAGTCGACCAGGTAGATGTTGCCAGCCTGGGGAGAGAAAGAGAGAAAGGTAATGGTGCTTCTGTCTCCAGTGCTCTGGAAGATTCAGCTGCAGAATAATGACATGTCCCACGGACAGTTTGTCTTAGTAGACGATTGATAGTCAATGTTTTCACATATAGCTCCAGTGCCCTGTAGGAGGTCATTGGATCATTGGGGAATTAATTGCTGATTATTATACTGCCGATATATCCATATCACTATCACAGGTCATAGTTCGTTGTGTTTCATGCTGATGAGCCCTAATAAGTGTGGAACAGCTGTCCGTGGCTGCTAACTGCAAAAGATAGAAAGAGAAGTCATAAGATACATCAGTCTCCCATTGAGTTGTAATATGAATTATGAATATGAATTGATTCTTGTCCCATCGCCTGCATGGTCTTAATTGCTATGGCATTGCATGGTATTCCTAGTAAGACATCTACTGTATAATCAGGGATGGGTACGTCCGATCACTTATATTAAAACCTCCAGTGTCTTTAAATTTTGCAGATACTGCGTATTTACACCAGAGCTTAATAAACTGTTTCAAATGTATGTCGCAGTTTCATTTTCTCAAATCAGGAACCTGGATCTACAACAAAATTCAGTGCAACGCGGCCAGAACGAAACTGACAAAAGTGCCGTGGAGGCAGTAGCTTGCAGCTGTGGGCGGCTGCTGTCCTCAGACAGCTGGATTCTGGGTGCATGCTGCTCCAGTGCGCACCGTTCGTGTGAGGGGCTGAGAGTCAAAGCCTCAGCTGACCAGTACCTTCAGCTCCTTGGACAGATTGGTCCGCGGCCCCAGCGATCCCTGCACCATGTCCCCCGACACTGCGAAGTTCTCCGGGATCTTCCGACAGCGCCGGATCATACGTGGGTTCGAGCCATTTAGGAACTGGAAACCAAAGAACCAGTCCTCGCGCCAGTGGTTCATCACATACTCTAAGAGAAACGGAGGGAGAGAGCGTGACTAATAACCACTCATGAACCCAGTGTCAACCAGGGTTGGAGGGAAGAAGAGGAGCTGCCGCAAGCACTGGAGAATGTCATAGTATGAGCCGAGTTTTTATCTGATTGGCACTGACACACGGATTGACAGAGTGGCACACCAAAACTCCTGCCCGCTGACACACCGAGTGGCAGTGACAGGACAGGCGAAGTTCGGCAGAGCTGGGTGTCCTACCAGCCACAGGGCTCTTGAGTTTCCAGAAGATGCGCTTGAAGTCATCCAGGTCACACCAGGACTTCCCAAAGTGGATAACCAGCTTCTTCAGAGACAACTCTAACAAGCTGGAGCAGAGAGAGGCAGCACGCGTCAATGGGCAGATTCCACTCGCGGTGGGCATTTCAGAAGGGTGGTCCTGTGTGTGAGAGACTCACGCGAAGTGCAGCGACCCCTCGAAGTCGCTCATTTTCTCGTTGTCGAAGCGCACGTCCTGGGGCAGGTCCTTCTCGGTCTTTGCATCAATGCACTTCGGGATGCCCGACTCCCAAGCCTGCCACCTGACAGGCACACAGTGTAGAGAAGCAAGGAGTCACAGAACCGTCCAGGGAAGGTTTGAGAGGAGTTTAATTGTGACAAAAATGAACACTGAAGAACACCACTGAAGGAGAAAACTGAAGAACACTGGAGGAGAACACTGAAGGAGACACACACAAAGGTATGTTTCCCACTGTGTTATAGAGGGTTTTATATTCCAAGTCCAGCCAATTTATTACCATGAACAGGGGATTCGGGATTCAAGATTCAAGATTTATTGCCATACCAACTTAGTTGTAAGGAATTTGCCTCAGTGTGCACATAACAGTTAAACAATAAGACAATAACAATAACATCAACACAACATAACATAAAACCTTGAGGTTACAAGAAGAATCTCATACAATATTAAAATGAAATGAAATAACTGGGGCATTAAAGGGGTTTACAGTCCATTTACATTGTCAATAGTCATCATGAGGTACTAATGTGTAATTGGAAAGCTGTTCAGTACCCAGATAGTCTTACAGTAAGTACTATTAAGGAAACGAGAGGTTTTGGTTTTAATGCTTCTCTTTTTCCTGAGGGAAGGGGTATAAAAAGGGAATTGGCAGGGTGTGCAGAGTCTCAGGTCGGCTCACAGCCAATGATATTTGAAGCTGAGCACATAATTCTCTCCATTCCCCCTTACGTCCCACTAGCCCTTCCTGATAATGTTATCCAGCTAGTCCCGAGGTGTCGTCAGGAGTTCTGACCGCAGGCCAGAGCCAGATTTCTGCAGACACAGTGACTGAAGGACCGAGTGGCCAAGACATACACGTGTGTTCCTGCCTGCTGCGGAACACATTCAGGCAGAGGTAGGAGAAGGAGAAGGGCCGAGCGACCAGCAGGCACAGAGAGGAATACAGAGGGACACGGAGAGCTGTTTACCGGTAAAGTTTCTGTCTCTCCTGCAGCTCTTTTTTTCTGTGGGCCAGGAGCAGGGGCTCAGAGTCGTCACAGTGCCTTTTAGCTGGAGACGGAGAGAGGAAGTGTCTTAGGCCAGCAGGTTTACCAGAATGAGTGTGCCTGTGAGACTGCGTGAGTGGGTTTTTTCTCTTTATGACCATCAGGCAGTGCTAGTCAGTGCGCGTATGAGTGTGTGTGATTTTCAGTATGATACACCTGTGGCACCAGTGTGGCTATTAGACCACGCAACAGTTCATCCTGGTGTCTGACAGACTCACCTGTTCCCTCTCTCAGCTCCACACTGATGTCTCCTACCAGCCACCGGTAGCAGGGGAACGTGAGCAGGGCGCCCCCCGGTGGCCTCACACACACATAGCGGCAGAACCAGTTATCCTCCACCCAGTACCTCTGCTTTTCCAGCCGGACCACCAGCACCTCACCCAGTGGGACGCTGCTCTTGACGGTGTAATCATCCACCTGGGAGCGGGGGAAAGGAGACGGATGGAGAAGGAGGGTGCGAATTAGAGAGATGGGAAGCAACGTGCAGAACGGGTTGTGTCAGGTCAGCAATTCCAGATCAGAGGTTATATACAGCAATCAAGCAGGGACTAACGCCCATCTGTCTGATGAGACATGCCAAGGTCCTGACTGCGCTGAGCAGACAAAGGGAGAGCGAGAGCCGGGCAGAGGCTCCGATGCCGGGCTGTAGGGCAGAGGATGTGGCGGCAGCGTTTGGTGGAAAGCAGGTTCCTGCCACGCATCCCAGCCTCGGGCACTGACAGCCGCGCGCGGAGGTGGGCAGCGGGCGGAGGACCGGACAGGCTCACCGCCCCCCTGCAGAAGTCCAGCCCCGGCTTGTCCAGCAGAGTCCTCTCGCTCACGCCCTTCTCTCCGATCAGGGTCGCGTACACGTAGTTATTGGTGCCGGAGTACTCCGACGTCCCCGTCGCCACGGTGATCTTGTATTCCAGCATCTGCTCATGGAACAACAACAAGAATCCTCACTAAGAGATGGCTGGATTAGTCCCCTCTGCCTCCCCCACCCCCCGCATCCTAGTTCTCCCCCTGGACCAGTTACTGACCCCCACCCTGTGCTCTGTATCTCGTAACTTTGTAGCTCTGTCAAAGTTGATGCGATAGTTCATGGCTTCTCGGTCTTGGTCCTGGGTGAGGCCTGTGTCTACTGTGGTTTTTTTTGCATCCTCCAGCTGTTTTTCATCCCAGGCTATTTGATTTCTTGTTTTCTGTTTGAGGCATATTGGAAAATTTGCTTTCAGCTCTTAAAAGGTCAAATCTGATTTGTACCAGGTATCCACCCTGTGCTAATTCCCGAGCTCCAGAACAGAGCCGAGGCAAACCGATCCGACGTGCTGATACCTGACTGCTCAGTCAGATGAAGGGCAAGCAAGCCGGGGGGTCTGATCGGAGGTCTGGAGGCTGGCGCTGTCAGAAACAGCAGCCTTGAAGTCAGGTAGTGGCCACACTCAGGAGCAAGTGCAGAAACAAGCAAGCAGTTCAAACAAAATCGCCAATGGAGATCTAGTGCTCAGCCATTACACAATATGAACCACAGGGAACCCCCAGATCAGCACTGGAAAAAAACTGCCACAGTTCAGCACCAAGCATAAGACATTTTTAAAGAAAAACAAACTACTATTTAAAATTAATTTGAATTCATTCAAAGTAACTCAAAGACACATGCAAGTATCCACACAAACCCATATCAGTAACCTCATAATATCCAGGCTAGTGCAAACAGTGAAAACACAGTGGAACCAAAGAAAGTGATTATTACATTTTTTTTCTAATTATTCTCCCTTTTTTCGGATAGATAAATAAGGGCATTGACTGTTAATTTGGGTTCATTGCAGTCTTATGATTCTGCATCTTACCTTGATCACCCTATGCATTTGTTGCAGTTTAAAGACAAAAATGATGTAGCTGGCTAGCATAAATCTTCTACGGTTGATTTGTAACTCAGTTAATTTGAACTGTGACGGTGTGCTGGGAAGTCTTGTGTTTATGCAGTTATATTTGAACACAGAAAAGATTATTACTGCATATCCTTTACTGAATAGAATACCACACATAATAAACAACGCCACCGGTTAATACATCCTGTCACACTGTTTAAACACACTGGGTTAGGCGGCAGTTTTATTTAGACAGCCCAGTAACAATCAAGCTAAATAAAGGTCTTGTCACTAACTTTGTGACTCTCCTGGAATAAGCAGTTTGTCTGCACACACGATGTAGTATATGTGTGGCATATTTGAGAATTCAATTCACACGAGGTATACTGTATAAAACAAAACCCTACACGCTGACTGGTGCATGAAACCCCAGTATTCATACTTTTTCCTTATAAATGCAAGATGACCAGATTGTGACCTTAAAAGTCTGTCCTGGATTTCAGCAACAAAAAAGGTTCAAATCTGGCCATGAACTGGGACATCAAACTGAAACATAGTTACTCACTGACCCAGTTACAGGCCTGTGAATTCATCTTCAGATTGGTAACTGTTCAGAGACTCCCAATCAATCTAATGTCTCACGTGTTTATAGAGCAAGCGAATGCATCATCCCAAGGCTCAGGCAGAGCATGAAAAAAGGCTGTACCGTCTCACACACCTTGCAGATAAACAGCACCATAACAGAAGCAGGCTGCAGTTATAGAGTACTGTACTGGGACTTAAGAGACTCAGGCCACAGCAATGAGACACAGTGAGTCACAAACCCTGTTATTTACTGCCTTGATCACTCAATGTTTCCGCACAGAAATCGGTTCTTCTCCTCACACCTGAGTGCTTTCTGCACGGCTCCCGGTACAGACCGTGTCTCGATCAGACCCGCACCCCGAGCCAGCGTCCCACATACTCACCTCGCCCCAGGAGCTCGAGCCTGGCCTGACAACCTCTCCAGTACAGCGCGCACTGGACTAATGCACCGAGACCGAAATTAAATTAAAAGCACGATTCCACTCCACAGGGAAAGGCGTGAATTCTCTGCTCTAAGGCACCCTTTCTGCTGCTTTGAAAAATCTGAAAGAAACGCTTCCCTGTCACGGCCACCAGCCAGCAGAGATCAACGCGTAAGCGAGCTAATCAGCACCAGCAGCGGGTTACTATTAACAAGCGCCGCCGCACGAGTTAACACACCTGCAATTGCTCTACCGTGCGGCACGCCGGGTTATTTATACTATTCTAACCCACTTCTTGTTGCTCTGTCTAGCGTTTCTTGCCCTTTTGCCTTCGGACTTCGGATCTCGTCACGCCCCTTGGATTGTTTGCTATCGGTGACTGTTTCGGATTTGACCCTGCCGCTCTCATTTCGACCACGATTCTGTCTCACATTTTGGATTGTTCGCCACCAGTGCCTTTACCGGATCTCGACCTACCTTACGCCTTCGGACTACGATTCAGCTCCTGGTTTTGCTCTGTTCGCTTACTTACAGTACCTCCCATCGACTCCTGCATGTGCATCGGATCCTTTTCACCTCTTCAGAGCAGCGCCACATTCCCATTGGAGCCCCTCCTAGACTGGTCATGGGGCCAGCAGAGAGCAAAGCTTTGGAGATGCTGAACATGTTGCAACCAGAAGAGCTGGAATTCTTCAGATTCTTCATTATTCCTGCTGGGTCATGTCTCTTTAAGAGGAACTTGTGACATTGCCCCCTGGGTGGCCACCGGTGAGGCAGACACCCCATCCTCTGACTGACAGCTTTGATCTCTTATCTCATCATCAGACAGTGCCACTGGAGAAAGAAGAGCCAGAAAGCTCTCCTACCGTTATACATCCATGTGTAACTTGATCCTGGGAGGGTTGTGTTGAGTCAGAGCCTTAATGGCTCCAGGCACAAGGTGAAACAACACCCTGGACTGGACACCAGTCCATTGCAGGACACGCACACTTCAGAGACACCAAGCAACCTTCACAGCAAGTTTTGGGGTTGAAAGCCTGCTAATCTAGCAGACATATCTTGATTAGTTCAAGTAACCAGTCTTGAAACTTTATCAGGATTTAAATTTGTGGCCAGAAAAAATGATAAGAGCTGGAGATTTGTTACCATGCTTGATAGAATTCACTATCTTCAGTTCATCTTGGCCGGCTGTCTGGTGTTTCAATATTTACTTGCATCTCTTTTTTTGCTTTAGTTGGGTCCAAGTGTTTATATCAGCCTCTAGAGTTGATGACTGAGGCTCGGAGCTGCTCTGGGGCATTGCTCCTCGTCTCTCTGTCTCCTCTGCTCTGCCTCAGTTTCTTTTTTTGGATATCTAGATGATCTTGCTGGGTTTTTATCTCAAAGACTGTCACCAAGACTGTTGATGTGAAACCAAAGACAGAACGAAACTTCCTATAATGTGACCAAAGGCTTTATCTTCCCATCTGCTGATGCTCTTGTCTTCTTGTGAGACAACAAATAGGTCACTGCAATGTGCTGATGAAGCTCTCAGTAAGACAGTAACGGTTATGCATTACGTCCATCAGGGCAGAAGCATCACACATGTATAGTTCACTTGGCGATTCTGCAAGTTTCATCTGAATGTCACTGGAGAGTCTCACCTGGAGCTACACGCTACAGCTACAGAGCCAATAGGAAGTCCAGTCACCTCCTAGATGGGTCATTTTCAAGAAAGGACAATAATGAACGCAGAGCTGTTAACCTCAGATTAAGTTCAATAGTTTGAGGGGGTTCTGATAATTATATTGATAGACTATCAAGTATCAAAATCTCCAGTAGGCATTTATGTCTAGGGAGAATTAGTCCCTTTATCTGGAATACAATCTACTTTTACTTGATCATGTGTATTTTTATTTTTTGTAACACCGTAAATAAAAGTGCACAAGATTCGATGCAATCTTACCAAGACTTCCGTCCGATTCGAGTTCTGCACTTTCAAATACATACTGTACCACGTATTTCTGTAATCTGGCCAGGACAGCAGGGCTCTCCCTGTGTGAGTGCTTTCTGGTGCAAGCCTGCTATCCGAGCAGACTGCCCTTCTTTCCCATGGAGCAACTCTGCCTTCTGCAACTAAAGGTGTGAATTAACCTCCCCATGAGACTCTGATGCAACTGAGCCAAACGGCTGCCAACCTGCAACTCTCCTGCACAGTTACACAACCAGGAGGAAAGATGGTCGCAGAGCAATGCTACTCAGGCTGATAAGCATCGGCCTCCCCAGTCTAAATTGCGACATGCTCCTACATGCTGACAGACACTGGGCTTGCGCTGCTGTGAGCTGTGTGCTTCGGCCTCAGGAGCCATTAGAGGCAGCAGCACTCTGCCACACCATGTGAGCACACATCACCCAAAACTGCTGTACTCCAGCCGGGCCCTGGAGGGCAGGCTGTGTGGCCTGTTCCCTTTTGTTTGCTTGCCTGCTAAGCTCAAGAACCCCCCAATCAATGTGCTTTGGGGAATCCCAGTCAGTCAGATACTGCACTAGTGCTCAAACAATCTTTTTTAAAACCAGTAACAACTATATGGGAGGACCCTGAAGAAAATAAGCAAGGTTACAAAAGAGAGGCCATGTGGCCCATCTAGCTCATTTGGTTGCCAGTAACTAGTGGAACCAAGGATCTCATCCTGCTGTTTCTTGACGCCAGCCTGGGGGATCAGCTTTAGCGACGTGTTAGAAACGTGCCTCCAGCTTTCTATTTTCGCACGCTTCACACGTTAAAAGGTGAGAAAGTATGTGCGAGAGAGAGAGCGCGTGCGTTTGTGTATGCGAGTGAGAGATTCAGCGCGTATGTGAGAGAGACGGCTCAGGGTTTGGGTGTGTGAGTATGTTATAGAAAGAGCATATTTGTGCTTGCGCGCTCGAGACAGATGATGTTTGTAGGTGGAGCTGATGGAACAACCACAAATACACCCTGACTCAGATTATCTGTGCAGGAAACCCTTGCAGAAATAGTCTGGGTGTTTATATGACAGCAGAAGATGTTGGAATTAATGTGATTTGGCCGATCCATATGTATTGCATGTGGAGAGAAGACGGGGGAGGTGGAGAAGAAGGATAGTGAACTGGAGTGCAGTTCAAGGGAATACGCTTTGCACCATGACATTCATGAATTCACAGCACAAGCATTTAGTGTTGGCACACCCTGAGCACAGCTGAGGAGCAGAGGGGAGGGAGTTGCACAGTTGTCTCAGGAGATAAGCACAAGCTTACTGCAGAATTAAGCTCAGTGGATGCCACAGATCACCTGCAAGAGAAGCGCTTTCTGCATTTCAAATCCTATCTTGTTCTGCATGTAAATCTCGCTCTGCTTGGCCACCGAGCTGTTCAATTGAGACATAAACATGCAGCTCAATTTCCTCACAGAGAAGACGCCAGTAGTCAGTGGAGGGCCAGTGGAAGTTAGCTGCACACCGGTGCAGGAAACTAATTAATTGGTGCTGTCTTTAACCATCAACAATATTAACCTGAAAAAACCAACACTACAGTATACAGAAGCCCGATTAAAAAAAAAAAGTAATACAGCAACATAAAATGTGATTCCAGAACAAGATGATGCTTCTGACTGCACACAGGTAGGTATGTGCATTGTTGGGGAAATAGACTATGTTTAGAATGTATTTTTAGTTGTGCATGGTGAGCTAAGCAAAAAAAAAAGCATTACAGTTGATATTCAATGCCTGTGAATATAAAAGGCTATCTCTGTTGATTTCGAAGCACTCACAAACTGATAACATGTCTTTAGGCTGCTGGTGATTGTATTGTGCCTGTCAGTGTTACCTTCTGCCCCTGTGGAACAGAAGCAAGAGCTCAGGGGTCAGAGCACAGAGGGAGCAGTTGTTGCCCCATTAGAAATGTGCACATGCACATCTACGGTGCCCTACCAACGTTTCCAGCGAAGTTGGTTGAATCACCAACGCTGTGTGACGGGCACGATGAAAACTGGCAAGAATGTGTTCCACTGACACAACACGGGCTTCTGGTTTTGATGTGCTGTAGCTGTGTTATTCCACAGCTCATTTTGAAACAGCAGTGTTATTTCTACATACTCATAAGGTGATGTTGCACAGCCCCTGTGACTCAGTAACTTTGTGGATCCTCAGTCATTTCCTCCATCTTTACATCATCACCTACCCCTGTAGCGTCTTCACAGCCTCCCACAGCTTATTCCTAAAGAAGCCTTTTACTCTGCATGTGTTGAACTACAACTTCTTGGAAACAAATTTTAATACATAAAGTAAATTACCTGAGCTATTTAGCTATTTAATAGCTCCTGCTATTTAAATATGTGTAAATCCATGGCTTTCTCAGATACGGTCCTCCTGTTTTGCCATTCAGCTAATATACACAGTCAGCACCAACAGCAGCATGTATTGCACAGTAACAATGTGCACAGACGCAAGAACAAGCTCCCCTTTGTTAACAAAACTTCCTTAATATCTCAAGCTTGGCTGTCTGGTTGATGATCAGCCAATTTGCTGTTTAACATACTGAGCGTCAAAAGAAACTACTCTAAGCCTGTGAAGTTTTATCAAATTAAAATGTTTGCTGATTAGTTAATCATTCATGACCGACCCTGATGCGATCAGCTGTACACCTGTCATGGTGTCCCTCAGTGTCATGACTCCTGTCAGCTGTACACCTGTAGGTCCCTCAGTGTCCTGGCTCCTGTCAGCTGTACACCTGTAGGTCCCTCAGTGTTCCGGCTCCTGTCAGCTGTACAGCTGTAGGTCCCTCAGTGTCCCTGCTTCTGTCAGCTGTACAGCTGTAGGTCCCTCAGTGTTATGACTCCAGTCAGCTGTACACCTGTAGGTCCCTC